CGTAAGGACCTGTACGCCAACAACGTGCTGTCTGGTGGTACCACCATGTACCCTGGCATTGCAGACAGGATGCAGAAGGAGATCACTGCTTTGGCCCCCAGCACCATGAAGATCAAGGTCAGCACTGGCAGATTATGTATATCTGATTGGATCATCAATGAGTACTATCGCAGTTTCTCGTCTAACCAGGGTTATTGTTAACTAAACTAAAAGTTAAGTCACCCTTAATATAGTGCTTTATACAATTAATATAGTTTCAGAGCAGCTTTACAGTAATAAACAGGAAAATACTGTTTTAAATATGAGACCAATTCAAATTCTGCTGCAAAGCAGCTCTAAAAAAAGACATTACTCAGTTCAAATCAATAACTGTATTAATTATGAAACAAGTTTATTTCAGCTATAAGCAGCTTTACAAAAGGTCACAATGTTGTTATTCAGCTCAATTCAGTTTAGTATTGATTTAATTCAGTTCAGTGAAAGAGTTGATGTTATATTCAATAGTTATGAAACAAATTCAACAATAAAAACTGGTTTAAAAACATTAACTGAAATAAAATATATGAAAAAAAATACTTATTTCAGTTAGTTGCCAAAGAAACTCAGTTCAAGTTGAAGTACTAAAATACCTAAAACTGAATTAAAAATGTATGAAAATGATATAGACATAAAAACCTAAAAATTACTAAAAACTCTACATAAATTAAAATGAAAACAGAAAACAAAGTAAAAACTCTCTGAAGATTTTAGCATGGTGATGGATATGACAATGTTAATGTATTTGGTCTTGGCGGAATAGATCTGCTACGCTGCTGCTGAATTGCTGCTGCTGTTGGTTATTGCTGTAGTTGTAGATTATTGCTGCTGCAAGCAAGTACAGGAACTTGCTACTGCCAATGCATACGGCGATACAGTGCCATGAGTATTTAAGACATACTGCTGCTGCACAAATAGCATATAAAATAACCCGTTAGCAGATCTATATAGGTGGAGCTGGGGAAGGTGGATGGTTTCAGAGAAACTCTGAAAGCGCGCTGCAGGAATCTCAAGTGAATGCTAGCCAGCCATATAAATGCAAGGCAGTAAGCTCATTGGCTGCATATGCAGCATGAACCAGTCAGCTTGTGCCAAGTCGTTTAACTCTCTGAATTTCATCAGTTACGTTAACAACCCATCAGCCTAGGGCTGGACAATAATTCAATATCAATATGTATCGCGATATAATTTTTTTCAATAACGGTGATATGATTTTTAAACACATTTCCGATATTTCGATATACATTACCAGTGTTTCCCATACATTGATTTATTTGTGGCGTTTGACTTCGTTGAATAAACATGAGCACTGCACGTTTCAAAATCAAAACGCGTCGCGGGTGTTTTATATGAATGTATCTCTGAAGGCAACCGACTGTCTTCAGAATAGTTTAGATGGCATTTTACCGTTCAAAGTACCGTTCAAGTTTACAGCCATTACTGGAGAAACCGTTGTTCCACCGCTCTCACAGCGCCTCCTGCTGGCAGACAATCAGTTTGCATTTTCATTTATATTATAGAAATTATTACTTTCATTTAGCAAGGATGTTTTAAATTGATCAAAAGTGATGATAAAGACATTTATAATGTTACAAAAGATTTTTATTTCAGATAAATGCTGTTCTTCTGATCTTTCTATTCATCAAAGAATCCTGAAAAAAATATACTCCGCTGTTATCAACATCATAATAATAAATGTTTTTTGAGCAGCAAATCAGAATATTAGAATGATTTCTGAAGGATCATGTGACTGGAGTAATGATGCTTAAGCTCTGCTTTGAAATCACAGGAATAAATTATATTTTCAAATAGAAAACAGTAATTTTAAATAGTAATAATATTTCAAAATGCTACTGTTTTTGCTATATTTTGGATCAAATAAATGCAGGCTTGGTGAGCAGAAGAGAATTCTTTAAAAAACATTAAAAAAATTACTGTTCAAAAACTTTTGACTGGTATGTTAGCCTATAGTTTGAAGTAAAAATATTAATATTAATAAGGAGAGTCTGAGATTTATTTGACAGTGATTTCACATTTCTTGTTTGTATGAAGGCTAAATACCAATAAAAGGTGAACATTTATTTATTTGCGCCATTTTTTTCCAAAAATATTATATAGTTTTATAGGAGTAGGTTTCGTAGAGTTGGCTAATTAATTTTTCAAAAGTTTGTAGGTACAGACATCTGTTGTGGCCATTCTTGGCCGTTTTTATGAGGCTTTTTTAATAGTGTTCATATCGATATCGGAATTATATCGTATCGACCGAAATTAAGAAATATATTGTGATATAAATTTTGGCCATATCGTCCAGCCCTACGTCAGCCTGTGCCATTTAGAGTTTCATGACTGAACTATATATTTATTTAAAAACTAAATTATTAACTATATCAACATTACTAAAACTCCACTGCTTCTACCTTGTATGTACTCAGATCATCGCCCCACCTGAGCGCAAGTACTCAGTATGGATTGGCGGCTCCATCCTGGCCTCCCTCTCCACCTTCCAGCAGATGTGGATAAGCAAGCAGGAGTATGATGAGGCTGGGCCATCCATTGTGCATCGCAAGTGCTTCTAAAGGACACCTCCAACTCCCTCCTGTTCCCCTAATTCTGCGATTGCTTCATAGCCTGTAAACTGTGAACGTACCCTATACTTCCCTCTATTGTTTTGTCTTTGCACTGCCCACATCTGTTTGAATGTTTTGATTTAATTATGTCATGACAATATAGTGCTGTTCTTAATGGGTTAAAAAGCTTGATTGTGCTGCCAATATGAAAGATTTGGGAGATTCCCTGGGGTAGTGAGAATCCAGAGATGAGGAGAGGGCGTCGAGAAACAGGGCTCATTCTCCCTTTTGTGTTCAAATGCTACGAGGTAACACAACTGCATGTCGGCTTTCAGGCAGTCTGTATGGATATCATATGATAACTCCATGAAGGAATAAAGCTCTTCAATAATAACCTGCGATTCACTTCTTTTGTTTCTGCAACAAATTACACAGCTCAGGAGTAATATTTGTGCAAATACAAATTAAAACTGATCTAAAAGATATTCTTAAAATTAATAATTTTAATAAGTAGAAATAATTCTATATACTCGCAGTCACTGTAATTTAGTTAAAACTTCTGTATACACAGGGTTTCTATGATCATGGAAAACCTGGAAAATTTTTAAATGGTGAATTTCAAGCCTGATGGAAATGAATAAAATTTTAAAAGGTAGATCTAGTTCATCTCTATAATATTTAATCAGCTAGAAATTGTGCTTTTGAGAGCAATTTCTGTGAAAAGAAACTACTATTCTTTGTATCTATTAGTGTCATCAAAATTTTTTTTTTTTAAATGGGAAGATGCTAATTTAACTAAATGTTAAATTAAACTGTTCCCATTTTTTTTACCAAAAAATAAAGGAAAATTAATCAAATGAAGTCAACATATCATGATGTGGATTTGATTGTTGAAGCAAGTATGAGCAATCAATAACCGGTGAAGAAGAATCATGCTAAATGTTTGCTTCTCATTTCATCATGCTATATGCATCTGTTAACTTGGGAAGATGAAGTTTTCCATTCTAAATCACAGATAAAAAAAAACATTGTCATGCTGTTTGAAACCAGAGGCTGTTTTGCTTTTATTAAGAAATGCGCTGAGGAAAAGTAGTGCTTGCACTGACACATAAGTCTCATTGTACTCTCTTGAGCACAAAGACTCACAACAGCACAGCACATTTCAGTGGAGCCACCGGCACACAGCCACACACTGAAGAAACAATCCAATGCCACATTGTACAAGAAAAACAAGTTATAGTCAACACTCTGAACTGCATGAATCAGTTCACAATTGATCATACATTGAATTTCATCATCCGCTGGTGACAAAAAAAGTTTCCTTCTCAAACCATAAAAACAGTGAAGACAAAAATCAAGTTGTTAAAATGAGGGAATGTAACCCTGAGATCAGTGCATTCAAGGCCCTCTGGTAATGTCTCTTAGGTTTCTTTGCTTATTCTGTTTTGGGAACTTTGGTGCGGTCTAAGAGATCCCAATCTTGTTTATACTTTTCAAGAGTCACTTCCCTTGTAATTAGATCAACACTGGAAAAAATGCTAAAGTTAAAAATCAAAAGAGTCAGCTCACTGGCCAACTTCATATTGCGTCGTTAGGCTGAAGTTGGAAAAGACAGAAATCCTTTAGCCTGAAATTATCTGAACTGACTGTATATACAAAGTATAATTATCAACCATTCAACCACAAAAATGATAGTAATACGTAGTAAGGCCTAGAAATTACTCTCATAGCAATTCATTTTAGTTTTGTACTGGCAGCATACACAAAACTAGAAAATTCAGTTAGGTTTAAAAATAAATTTCACTTTTTCAGTGTATATTGTGTTAGAATGAGTACTGCAAGTGATATCACTGGATATCAAAAGGCAAATCTCTCACACACACACACACACACACACACACGCGACTTCCTTTTAAATGTCCTGAAATCAATTCCCATTGTAGCAGCCTCACAAAGACAGCACAACATTTTTTTAAAACACCTGGCCACGAACAAAAAGCAAAACACAAAACACCATGGACCCTTTTCACAAGACCGTGATGATGCATTTGACGGTCATCAGCATCGTAAATCCTCGAAAGTTTTTCATATTTGTATATATTTTTTTTATTTATGTATATTTATAACACTATTCTTTGTATTATATCACCTTTGCATCAAATTACTAAAAAACAGTCAACGCTAATGCAAGGGTGTTTCTAATGCAGCGTCTATGGGAGGATTGGTAAACTTGACATCATTCTCTCTTCTGACAACCCTTAAAAAACATTTTTTTCCTTTTATTGACAGTCATGAAAACACTATCGTGGAGTTTTTCTTTTGCTATTTGAGCAATTGAGAATGCAAAAAATATATTTGTGGTACTCTCCCATTCACTGCTCTTAAAGTTAACCCAACTATGATGACTTCCGCTGCTGAGAAGCCCGGAAATGTGAAAAAGGTCCATTGGAACATCTCAATAACTTCACTAAACCTGCTCACAGCAAACTGTGTAGCTGAGGGATTCCGTTTCACAGTACCTTTTTGTAAAATAAATAAATTTAAAAAAGCCTTCAAGTAAAGATCGATATAAATATTCTCAATGGTTTGCTGATACTGAAATATTTCTTCTCTCCCTCTGTCACCTGAGGTCCAGAACTGTCGTTTTTGAGTCCTTCACCACAATGTGCTTGCAAATCTGAAAATAGAAAAAAATAATGTTTCACTTCTCTAAAAGTGTTTCTGTTTAGATATCAGCATTTGAAACAGAAGGCACATATAGCTGTTGATTTTCATATTCACAGAACAAAGGGTTCTTACAGTGAACAGAGGAGGGTCTTTAGAGTGGGGGTGAAAACCTTTCAATCTGCATCCAGCCACTTCTCCCATTCCAGCACTGGTGAGTCGGAACACTCCCGTGCTGAAGAAGCAAAATTACACACATATTAAATGATCTGAATGATAATAATAAAAAAAAATGTGTATATATATATATATATATATATATATATATATATGCATAGGTGTAGCATTTCTATATGTTTCTATATACTGTACTTTTAATTTCTTTACTTTTTTATATTTCAGAAATATATCCATGTAAAAAAAAAAAAAACAATTGATTTGGACAAATGATCAAATATAATATATATTTGCATGGTGTAATTTAGTCATAGTCTAATGCGAGTAATTCGTTAAATTTATTTGCATTGATTCAATGTTTTTAACAACCAAAATACTGAAAAGATTCATGGATGTTTAAATGATAAACAATTGTTAAACAATCAAACATCTATTGTTAAAAAATAAATGAATCTGCATTCATTTGATGTAGCACTTTAGAGACTGCAAATTAAAAAAAAGCCTTCAGGTTGTGTGAACACAATGGACGGAGTTTTGTAAGGGTTATACTCACTCATTGTGTTTAGGTGCGCAAACAATAGCGATGGCCTCCGGTAGCATGAGCTGATAAGAGCTGTGTGTGTGCAGATCCACGCTGGAAAGGAAGGCCGTCTGTGTCGGGTGGGTCTATGAGCCAAAAACGTTACAAAAATATTCAAATTAACACCATTTAGTAGCTCCTTGTTCTCATGTAGCCATGAAATAATTGACCATGAAAAATGATCACCAGGTGACCTGGAGACTAAGAATAAAAGTTCAGTAAATTGTAAAATAGAGTTTCCATGGTGAGCCTTAGACTGATGCCCCATCATATTTGATTATTCAAATAATAAATTAATACAGTTGGGTACAGAATCAGTTTTTAAGTACATGTTCTGCCACTTTATGTAAGTAGCCTATTTCTATATGCTGTTGTTTAAAAGTTGGAAGAATTCTCACCATGATTGCATTTATTTGATCATAAATACAGTGTATATGTTTATTTTTCCTGTGGTGACAAAGCTCAGTGTTAAGCAGCCATTGCTCCAGTCTTCAGTGTCACATGATTGAAGAGATTGATTTGCTGCCAAAGAATCATGTCTTATTAACATCAGTTCAAAAGAACGATACTTTCTTTTTTTTTTAAACAGAAATGTTTCGTAACATTATACATTTCTTACAACTTTGCTGAATAAAATAATTTCTTAATAAAAAAATCTTACTGATCCCAAACATTTGAGTGTATATAAACCACTAGCCTACTTGAAAGATTTCATTTAAAAATGACCAGGCATAATTTTTTCGCATTTTGTCTACTGGTTTTGGTGTAGGGGTTCAACGGATCACAAAACTCACGGCTTGGATAATATTATGGATTTTGAGTCATGGATTAGATCATTTTTCACAAAATTACTTGAAGAACATTTTAGTTGCTTTTGGGAAACGTACACCCCTGATCCTTACTGATCACAGACCAACTATACGATTCCTCGAAACCCTATTTTGGAGGGTACGGAGGGTACGCTCTTATCACAAGCCAAAATATTTACTAAATGAAAACACAAGGGGAACGGGATGTGAACGATGGCTGCTCAAAATCTGTGGCGCTTTCAGCAGGCTTATATTCTGTGTGGGTCTTAGTCACCAGCAAGCTTTTCACCTGCCAAAGGTGTGAAAAAAAGAGGTCCACAGCTCTAATTTAAGAAAATACGTGACAGCCTGAAAAAGAGAGACACCCACATGGATCCAGCCCAGGGTCAGAAGGTTATGATGGTCCTGATAACTGAACAGCTCTTCCACGTTCTCCATGTCACAGTAGTCAGGGCCAGCGGACTGCTTGGGGACGATCACATGGGTCAGCACAAACTCATTGTGTGTCTGGGGGACAACAAAACAGATTTTAGGTTGTCTATTAATGCACAACATGCATCCCACAATCACACTATGCATCCTCTGACACAAGTCGAACAAAAAGACCAATAGGGCTGTCACGATAACATCTTTTTGTTATGCGATATATTGCCCCAGAAGTACTTGCGATAAGCGATATTATTGTAATTTTAAAGACCATTTGATGCCACTGTATATATAATCATAATGTAACAGCATAATAATGCAAGAAGGCCTACACACTTCCAAATGACAACAAACTTAAATTTTTAAGAATATTTTGATCATGGAAATTAAGTATCAAAATATTAGATACCTTAAAAAACTTGAATAAATAGTAAATAAACATTTTCTAACAAAAAGTGCAAAGTAACAAGTACAAAAAAAAAAAAATGCACAAAGAACTTGTATGGAGATTTTTCCATCTACAGATTTTTCCCTGACCTTCTTTTCTCTGTAAATTAAGGGTGTACACTATTGCTGAAAAAAACAATCACTACTTAGCTGTCAGATGTCCGTATGCACAAAGGCACAGATCCCTAAACAAGAACATATCTGCAGATTAAACTTTTTTTTGTTGAAGCATTTTTTAAATTGGAACTAGCACTTCATGACTACACCATGTTATGTACGAGAAGCTGCAAAAGACACAGGCGCAAGTGGAATGTAAAAAAACACGGGGACAATAATTTTTAAGTAAATATAATGGGCGATATATTGCGTCACCAAAAATCATTGAGGTCATGTATATATATTGCGCGATAAGTCGATATATTGATTATTGCGACAGGCCTAAAGACCAATTAATTCTTTATGGGAGCTGAGCAACAGCTAGGGGTCACTAAATATTTACAAAGTGTCGCCAAGCTCACTCTAGTTTGATGGTTAGTAATAGGGATGAAACAGTTACAAATTGAAGAAAAAATACCCAACAGTTAATATTTCCATTTCATATTTTAATTATTATTAAACTATTTGAAAAACTCATCGCTGTCCAACATTACCAAAGTTAGCAACATTCTCACGCAGGTGCAGCATGCAGCGTTTTGTTTTGTGTGAAAATATGAAAGAAGGCAGGGGAAGGTTTTACAGAGGGAAATTACATGAATTGAAACTGTGGTCAATTTTTACTGGTTGATAGAAAATAAGCAAATGTGCATTCAAAAAATCTAAACATTTTGGATAATAAAGTATCAAGAATTATTAACAGAGCAGATAAAATAACTATAATCATTCAGCATTTTGACTCATCTCTTTTCTTTAACATGGTTTTAAGTCTGAAATTTATAATTTTTTTAAACCATTTTTGTCAAAATTAGATAACGTTATTTTTCTAATTTAAAATCCGGCCATCAATGTTAATGTCGTTATTTTAGATTTTCCACTGTTGTTGCAATTATTAAAAACGTAACATTTAAAATCATTAAAATTTTTGAATGTTAAATTAGGGGTCCCCTGGAAAAAAGATTGGAAACAACAGCCGTAGAGGATTGTGGGACAGACGGTTCAAGCAAGTGATGAAAGTGTACAAAGGGTAAAATCGCTCAACCTCAGACAAATCAGAGATGAAAAACGCTGGGAGGAAGGCAATTTCTGCAAGATTAAGATGGATTGCAGGTGGTTGGTGAACAAGACACTGAAATTCTATGTAATGCTCATGAATAGTCTCACTTGTGGTGAAAGTATGAGGAAGTCCACATCCACACCTAATATTTACAATGATTGTGCAACACTGAAGCTCCTAGTTTTACAGTGAATGAGAAAGGCAGCATATAACTAGCCAAAAAAATAAGCACAATTGATCTTTAACACTCCCCAAACCATTTCTACACTCACTCCAGGAAAGAATTAGGAAAAATCAGCAAATTCATGACCAAAAGAAATATCCACCCACAAAGAGGATGTATGCTCCAGCTGAGGCCTTACCAGTTTTCCACAGAGAACTCCACACGTCTCAATTCCTCTCGCCGTGTTACTGTCAGCCAGCAGAAGGAACCTGTAAGTCAGGTCTCGAGGGATTAAAACCCGCCTCAGGCCTTCGACACGCTGATCTAGAAGCACACAAGAACATACTGTAGTACTGCTAATAACACAAGTAAAAGATAATGTACAGTGAGACAGGTACTAATGCAAAATAAGGGTCATTAGAAGCTTTCTAGCATTCTGAAGTGGTTTATTTTGCGATAACGACTGTACATTATCCCACTTATTAGGGCAACTAACCCTTTTTATTCAGCCATGGTGCATTGAATTGATCAAAGATTACATATACAACACAACAAATGACTTTAAATACATTGTTATTTTGAACTTTCTATCCATCAAAGAGTCCTGAAAAAAATGTATCATAGTTTCCACAAAAGTATTAAGCAGCTGTGTTCAACATTTTTTTGAGCACCAAATCAGCCTATTAGAATGAATTTCTGAAGACTGGAGTCAAGACTGAAAGTGAAGGTTTGCAATCACAGGAATAAATTACATTTTAAAACATAACCAGTCATTTCAAATTGCAATAATATTTGATAACATTACTGTTTTTAGTGTACTTTGATCAAATAAATGCTGCCTTGGTGAGAGTAAGAAATTATTAAAAAAAAAACTTTTACCCCAAACTTTTAAATGGCAGTGTAAATACATTAACATGAATTATTTGATTATATAAGAATATATACCTAGCAATATGCAGTTTAACAATTAAAATAAAAAAAACAACTGAATAATCAGAGAGTGGTGTAATAAATCACTAAAATTGTTAACAGGCAAATATGAGCTAGATGAGGGCACTCACTTTGTACAGCTGCTAAGGTGGCTGCTGGTTTGTTACGATTGGGGTCAAGGCGCGCATGGTTTCTCGGGGTCTGGGATAAGCAGGACCCGTCGGTTTGTTCAGGCACTTTGGGGACAGCCTCATCCCTGCGACTGGCCAGCTCTTGTCTACGCAGTTGGTCCTCGAAGTAGCGGAACTGCTCGGATTCGATTTGCATCTTCCTGAGCTGTGCTACACGTTGCCGTTCTTCCTCCAACAGAGACATCTTCTGCAGTCGTTCACTACACATCTCAACAGCCATGGCTTGAGTCTGCAAAAGTATTCACACATCATGACTAATATTCACAATAATGAACTGAATCTGATATTTGATTAACAGGTAATTTCATCAGCAGTGAATGAGAATTACTCTGTCGAATGTACCTGACTCTTCAGATATTCACTGTGTTCTTTGCTGTATTTCTCATGGAGAAGTCTCTTCAATTGGTCCTTTCGTGGAAAGGCCACTTCTTGCAACTTCTGAACATAATGAACAGATAATGGGACATACATTAGGGGTTGTGTTACAGACAGCCAGTACCAGATAAATCTAAAGCTTTCAGGGACAAAATTATTTTTTTTTAAAAGCTCGGAATAGAGATACTTAAACCAATTACTAATCTTTTTTTGCATTCAGGGACCATCAGCAGACATTAAGATCATTAGGTTAAAGACCCCAGGAACTAAAAAGTGGCTTTTAGCCACTGTCTGTTTTTACAGTATACGCTAGTGAATGAAACTTAACAGATATTCAGCAAAATGTAGACTATTTTACCTCCAAAACTAGCAAAAAATAAATGTTGCACTATTGATGTTGGTTCAGTAAAAACCTCTAGAATAGGAATTCCTTTATAGCAATACTACTTGCCATCAACTACCAATAGCAACTAGCAAATCATGGTTAATGACTTGAAAAAAGGACACAATCTTTGATATGTCACATACTAACTTTTTATTTATTCATAAAAAAAATTTCCCGAAATACATTGCCACAGAACAAGGCACAAAATGCATTAAAACATCCATTACAAGAAAAAAAAACATTTTTTTAGTTTTAATGTGTCTATTAAACAATGATTGATACATCAGGTGAATAGGAAGAACCTTTTCATGCAGAGCCGATCCCGAAACACCAGGGGGCCCCCTTGCTCTCAAAGATGATTTAATTCTAGTTTAGTTTTTGAATTTGGTCAGCAGTTACGAAAACATGAACGATCATTTCTTTCAATGCAGTGCGCTGTAGCCCTTTCTACATAAAAATCAGTCAAATCATGTAATGTGTATGTTGTACAGTCTTGCTCGAGACAAACAAAACGGGTTGAAAGCGTACCCAGCCGCGGAAGAGACACTGTTTTTCCAAGCGCTTTTCGCGAGCGCGATTCAAGACGGAGTGAAACACGGACAAATGCGTTTCATTCATTCTTTCAGAACCACTCATACCCCACAGTTTTGCATAGGGCCTCCAGAAGTCTAAGATCGGCACTGGTTTCAGGTCACTATGCTGAAATGAAAGAAGAACATGTGCCCACACAAGGCAAACCCACCATGTGAGCAGCTGGGAGCCTGACAAGTCCTCTAGACAAGGTAATTGAGCATGATGCTAATCAGATTTACAGTGGGCTGAGCGCCACAGGGCTCCATCAGTTTCTATGAGTAACATGCCAGGGGCTTACCTTCATTATCACTTGCTTCTCAGGGACGTTACACTGCTGATAGTCCCTGTGATTGGGGAGTTTCTCAACAAATAAACTGCACAAGAGTGATATAGGAAAATAAAGTTGAGGACTGATTGCCATGGATTAGAAAATACATTTTATGACAGCTCTGAAGACAAAACAAATATGGGCCAAGATGCTGGGATAGTCTCCAGCATCCCTGTGACCCTAAATACTGTAGGACCAGTACTGATGTTAAATAAAATAAATAATAAAACATACGTGATGAACTTGTTGTAGAGGACAAAGGCATTCTCCAGACTGCCCTCCTCTAGATAAACAGCTGCCATGCTCTCCATCTCTACGCCAGAGCGGAAGTAGCGTCTCGGGGCGATGTCTTCATTTATTTCAATGTTATAGCCCATTTTGCTGAGGGCCCGCACACGTTCGACTGCTGGCAGAGTAATGTCAGTGTGATCTGGCTCGGCCGCTAACTTCTTCTGCAAACGGAGAGGACAACAAAAACCATGAGAATACAGAGCAGTGGCATACAAGGAAGCCTTTGTAAACCATGGTGACATAACGTGCAAGAGTTTTATCAGCTACGAAATACTATTGCTGATAAAGACATACAGCGATGTTATTTTGGACTGGATTCTAAATATTTATCCTTATCTAGCCTATTTTTGTGTGCTGAAATTTTTCTAGATTTCTGACAGGTGTCAATCTGATAAGCTACATTGTAGCTTTGCCAAATAAAATTGCTCTAGATAGGCAAACTGAACTAGGATCGGTCCCCATACACCAGTGGCACAGAACATTTGGTCCCAAAGACATCACAGGCCTCCGATAAACACAACATAAGCTCTGTTCATCACCCAGCTTGAGCAAACCGGAATACCCAGCAGCACCCACGCTGAGTTCACTTCCAGCTCTCATACTAATGACTAAACAGAGCCTCTGTTTTAGGGTCACTGAAAAGAGTGGGCGTCTTATCAACATGCAGCAGGACATTGATGGACTCCAACGAGGGACTGCCGAGCTGTTACACTTGTTGGACATGACAGCTTGCTTGACTTTTGAACGGTACGGGCACAAAAATCTGCAAGTGTTGGTGTGAAGCCACATTAAAATCTCTGCACGATTGTTGGAGAACAGGATTCTGGGTGGTCAGAATAAGAAGTCTATGTTTGATCACGCATTCGCAAAGAGGGGAAGCGAAGTGTGAAGGGGGCTGCATCCGTTCCTTCCCTCTCGCCCACTCCAGGATGGAGGGATCTGAATGACAGAGCAGCTGCAATGGGAATACTAATGGGAGTGAGTCAGAGGAAGCCATTCTGTCTTTGCGACCCACCTCCGAGTAATATCAGCTGTCCCCCACCACCCTCCTCCCCCTCCCACAACGCCACTCACCAGTGTGCTGAAACTGAAGCCCTGGTCCATGGTGAGTTTACAACGTTGGCTGGCAAGCTTCGATCCTCCCTATGCATCCATCTGTCATCTCCCAAGACGATTCCGAGCTGAGGAGCAAGAAACATCATATCTGGCATTACAGCAGAGCCATTAAGAGGCCGCTGGGTCGATACAGTCTTTGTTTTCATTTCCACAACACTAGCTTTGGCTACAACTCTATGCTGTAGAATTCCTAGCGTATTCTTCCTAATCTATTAACACGGTTACCGTGGCCAGTGCATTTCCATGGGGATTATCGAATATAATTCACCATCTCAGTCCAAATAACATGGTTATTCGTTCCAGAATCTGTGCTACAGTTGCTATGACAGCTTGTTACCATGCAGCAAAATATGGTGACTCATGGATATCTTTAGCTGTGAATTTTTTTTTTTTTTTCATTTTGCACAAAGCTGGGTAAATATTGGACTGTTTCTTTCTCTTTTACTTTTTGAAAGCTGAGTACAGCAAATTAACAAATGGAAAAAGTATCATCACCGTAGAAGAAAATGTTCTGATTAACGATGCCATGGCAACTTAAAGTAGATGCACTGTTAAAATAAGAGAGCAGCGTAAAGGAGATTTAACACTGAGCAGTCTCTGATCATTAGGGCCTTGCATAATGTCAATTTGCATTTGATTAGAAAATAAGCAGCTGAGATTATATGCATATAATATATGAGGTGTATATTAATGTTCAGGTAATGATTAAGTAGTACATAATGGCTCAAGCAACTGTCTGGATTCACATGTCTCAGTACTAGCAAAAGGATTTTAAGCCAAAAATACCAAAACATTTTTTTGAAAAATAAAAAATAATAGTATGATTTATAGACTGAAATAATAACCCTCCCAAACACTAATTTATTATAGTGTTCAACTGAAGTCTAAAAAGGGGGGTTTTACAGTAACACAAGCATTTTCAAGGAGGGATGAGCGGTTCTTCAACATATTTTAAGAGCCAAGTAAATCAAACCACAGTCCACATCTGCAAACATGTTAGTGCTATGTAAAAATACAATCTCTATGACTGCGTCTCAAACAATGTCTAACAATTAAATTATTAACATAATGACTGTTTCTACTATGTAGCTAGCAATTGTTATAATATTCCTGAAATGTATGATGCAAAAGTTTATGAAGAACTCATTCCTGCTCAGCACATGATTCAGGCTCTAATATAATATATTGTATATTTATTTGTAATTAAATACATTATTTTAACAGTGAGTACTATAGGTAGAAGTAATATTACACTAAAGTAACTTTTTTATATACTTTCCAATCTCCTCTGATTCATGACTTGTAACTTCTGCTTTTCTCTGTCACTATAAACTTGATACAAATGTATTTTATATGATGAATATCAAAATTGGAGCTCCTCCAATAAACAATCAATATCAGACGTCAAGCCAAAATTCTACAGCACAGATATGATCATCATAATCATACAAATAATATTACTTCATCAGTAAACCAGTCACAAGGATTAGGTCAGTGATACATTTCCCACATGACAAGATTGCATCAATTTCGATGTAAACATGAAATAGTAAAAAAAAAAAAAACAGTAATGATCACAGGTCTAAATTAAGACCACAAAAATTTAATGTATAAATACAATAAAACCCTCACCTGTAGGTGAAGAGCTGCTGTGATCCCATGCTCCACATTCCTACAATCGTCACATGTGGCACGTGCTAGAATTCAGCTCGAAAACAGGCAACTCGCGTAAATAAAAGAGCAGTTTTTTTTTATTATTGTCTACAACTCTCGGTCTTTTGCCTTTGTACCTCATGGAAGCTTTGTTCTTTTGGCATGGATATGCGCGCAAGGCTAAAATGGCTGATTGCTGTCTTTCAGAGAGAATAATCCTGCGATGTCAGATGGTTCGCCCGGAGCTCAGCGAGTCAGATGAATGCTGCTGTAGCAGCGGTGCTTTTACTGGCTGTGTTTCAAAACCTCACCAGCAGCCTATCTAGTCAGCACCCGGATTCTTCTCTGATGCCCAAACGCTGTATAGTTTACTAGATTTGAGCCGCAACCAGTGTGACAGCTAAAGGGGTGGGAATGACTGCACGTCTGTAAAGGTAGATGTACTGTATTTCATGACATTTACAAGCTTTTACTTGCATAAACAGATAGACACTCTCAGACATTACATTATTCTCAAGCATTAACCAGTTACAGAGTCCATAATTCACATTCTAAAGACACTGAAGCCTAACACGTTCTTCTCGAACTGTTTGCATTTATTTTGTGAAATGTTACGCCACAGAAATAACTATATTGTTTGTATATTTTTATCCACTAGATGGGGCACAACTCCTCCGAATTGCCAAATTACATCTGCCTAGCAGGACTAGGCCTCAGTTTTTTTCTTGGAAAATTTCTTATAAATATGGAGGGGATTATTTCTAAAATAGTAGCCTAATGTTTGTCCTGCATATTACAATAATGTATGGCCACTTCGCTTAATTTTGTCTTGTTAAATTCTTCTTGAGCACCCATCAGTGCGAATGAACGCTGTAATTGAGGAGAAACTCGATAGACCTATGCTCCACAAAACTGGTCATAAGGGTCATTTTTTGACAGAGATTTTTACATCATCTGAAAGCTGAATAAGCCTTCCATTGGTGTGTGGTTTGTTAGGATAGGACAATATTTGGCTGAGATACAACTATTTGAAAATCTGGAATCTGAGGGTGCAAAAAAATTGAAATATTGAGAAAATTACCTTTAAAGTTGTCCAAATGATGCATATCACTAATCAAAAAATAAGTTTGGATATATTTACAGTAGGAAATTTACAAAATATCTGCATGGAACATGATCTTTACTTAATATCCTAATGATTTTTGGTATACAAGAAAAATTTATAATTTTGACCCATACAATGTATTGTTGGCTATTACTACAAATATACCTGTGCTACTTATGACTGGTTTTGTAGTCCAGGGTCACATATTTTACCGGTAAATTAATGACAACGTTTTTCAGTAAAAAATAAATTAAATAAATAAATAATACTATCACAATTTAAAAATTCTAATTTTAGTATTATGAGCCAGAGACATTGTTTTCTAATAAAGTGTGGAGCGCTAAAGACAGGCAGATGTACAGTCATTATACCAGATAAGAATTTGTTGGTTTCTTATACATCCCTCAGTATTCACAGAAAGTAGGCTAGTCACAACTTCTAACTGAAAAAACAAACAAACACTTAAATACTTACTCAACTTACAAAATTATTTACAGGCAGTGCCAGATCTCGCTATAAAAATCTGATCTCTTTGACTGGTTAATTGTGGTCCTCAAAGAAACCAAGTATTGAGTACATGTACAGTAAATGAACATACTTTCCAGAAGACCAACAATTCACTAAAAATGTTTTTTTTTATTGGTCTTATGAAGTATTCTAATTTGTTGAGATAGTGAATTGGTGGGTTTTTGTGAAATGTGAGCCAAAATCATCCCAAATTAAAAGAACCAAAGACTTAAACTACTTCAGTCTGTGTGCATACAATTTATTTAATACACGCGTTTCACAATTTGAGTTGAATTACTGAAATAAATGAACTTTTCCATGACATTCTAATTTATTGAGATGCACCTGTATATGGATGTTATTATCTTGGTTTGTAGTAACAGAACAATTATTAAAAGTATATTTGTCAACTGCATTTATTTATTTATTGATTGATTGATTGATTGATTGAAATTACAAGGTCAATTGTCATTTGTATATTTCCATTTATTTATTTATTGAAATGACAAGGCCAACTGTAATTTGTATATTTCCATTGATTGATTGATTGATTGATTGATTGAAATGACAAGGCCAGTTGTCATTTATTTATTCGTTTGTCTTGGTTCTTCTTAAGAAACCGTTTTCATTATACCTGTTTAACCCGTTTAATACCAAATTTTCCCCAGACATCAAAATATCCAAATGTGTCATTAGTAACGCTTTGTTTGAAATAATCAATAACAAAAGTGTGTGAAAAATTGTGTTTTATGGTCGGTCACAATTGTGGGATAATGTGTGTACTGAATTAATATATTTCTGCAGTCATAAAAATTGTTATATATCTTAGCCCAGCTATTTTAAACAGTTTGATCACATTTTAGGGTTACTATTATGCATACAAAAATTGATAGGAATACTGAGATAAAACACAAAAAAATTCAACCATCAACACATTTCAAAATTGTTACTTTTTTTGTAAAATATAACATCACATTTTTATATTAGTGCTATCAGTATTACAACATCGATATTGTACAATTTTTGTAACATTTGAAATTTTAATTGAGTGCAATATTTTGTCATTGCAACATTTTAGTGTAATTTTCACTAACAACTGCAATTGGATTTATATTGTATACCTAAGTTCACTGCTATCCCACTATTGTGACCATCAACATGTTTACTCATTCTATGACCACACTCAACAAAACTGAATATATGTGAATTCATATATTAATACTAGACACCTTAAAGATAATGTGTACCAAAAATCTTTGTCACATCTTTATGTTAACGTACTTTACTAGCCTTTTGTTTTGGAGCTTTGATGCAGTTATCATCTTCTCAAGGCGCAAACAGGAAATAAAACTGCTCTGGTCATGTGACAATTTGCACTAACCATGTGAAACTGCACATATTTAATTGAGACCCTTTATTTTTTTTCATATTTGCAGGAAGTGCACTAAAACATCACATCAGTCAGTAAGGTTTTTAGAGCTTTATAAATGAAAACCTTTTTACGGTATTAAACCGCCATGTTAGTACGTCTATTCCATCTTCTGTTGAGAGGAAATGAGTGTATGTAATGGCCCGGAATCCACCGCTGCACACCTGAACGGCACTGATTGCGTCATGACGTATGCGTCAGTGTTACATGACCACACCCTTATCTGAAGCGCTGTTTCACACAGTTCGCATTTCGCAAGGTAGAAAGCAAACAAGTTAGCAAAGGGCTGTTAGTTTTATAACCTCAGAGTCCGCATTAAGGATAAGTTTAATTTCGTTTCCCTGTAGGGACAGAGGAAGCCAAATGGGAATCTTGTACTCAGAGGTGAGTAACGTTGACTCCTTTGAAACGTGTCTTGATCTTCCTTTCTTTAGGAAACAACCGACTTGGCTCATAACTGATGATGATTATGATAATCGACTGATCGTGTTATGCTAAATTTAATCTCTAACAACTTAATGAGTTTTGTTCTTCATACCTCAATTTTGTGTCAACATAATGTTTTTCTACTGACTAAAAAAATAATTATGCTTATTTTAACTTTTGTGACATGGCAATGCCAAATAAGTTAACTGTCCTCTTCTCAGACAGTTTAACACACGTTCACAGACAATACAGGACAGTTTCACATTGTACCAGAGAATCATATTTTCTCTCTTTTTTTTTTTTTCATGGCATTGCTGTTGTTATTTTCATGACGGTGATACCTTCTAGATCTTCAGTCCTTAAAAGACATAATATAGTCTACTTATGCGTGAAAATGAAAAATACTTCACTGTTCTAAGACCTTTTTACAGTGTTTTTTTTTTTTTGCTGTAATGTATTTGAAAAGGGTGTGTTTATGTGTTAAGTTATCCATCATGCTTGGGATGTCACCAGACCTGTTTTGCTCATCACCCTATCTGATATCAAACCACGTTTCAGGCCAAAATCACATCCCTCCTTAATTTTACCTTTAGTTGTCTTAGTCTTATTAAATGTATTAGATTTAGGATAATTAATTGTTTCATGTGCTTATTTCTAATCATATTTTGTGCTACTTTCTTTCCATAGCCTATGTGTCAGGCAGCTTATGACGATGACATCCACAAGTTGCAAAAACTGATCTCAGCCGATCCCAAAAATGTAAGCGTTCAAGATGAAGGAACAGGAGACACACCGATCATAGCTGCCTGTAGACGGGGACACCTCAGGACTGTCAAATACCTTCTAGATTACAATGCAAATGTGTCTATTAGAAATAAGGTATTGCACAAGTGAGGATACTGAAAATAGTCCTGTTTAAATCTTGGTTATCGTAATGCTGCTGCAGTTGTATTGTTATGAGTGAGTCTAATGCGCAATGATTCATTTGAATGCATGGTGTTTTTCTGACTCGCCCTGTGGTACATTTTATTAATGATTGTTTATTTTGTGCTTGTTTAAACATATCTATGTGTATGTTCTTCCTTTAGAAAGAAAGGACTTGTTTGCACTATGCCACGAGAAGAACATTTTCCTTCCTGGACTACTTGATGATTGCCATATTAATGCCTATCTTGTTAATTGGTTATCTTATAATGGTAGGTTATCCCTCAGTCATGGCATTTCTGGAAGAGACTATTTACTGTCTGAAAAAAAAAATAGAAATTTTGAGATCAGGAATTTCCCTGAGATTAGTGTCCAGGAATAGAAAGCGATTTGTGGTGTTTTATATGTGTTCTTGTCCATCACTTATGTAATCGGACTTTAATTTCTGACTGATCTAAATGTGATTAATTAGACAAAATTAAAGCATTGCACATTTTATCTCAAAAGGAAGAGAAGCAAAGAAAAAATGTGAAATTGATGGAGCTTCTATTGGCTACTAAGGTGGAAGTAAATGCTGTAGACTATGTAAGTAGAACACTCATCATGTTTTGGAAATTAATTAAGAGATAATTTTCATGCTAAAAAGGATGTTCATGGTTATAATTTGTGCAGCTTTGCTTTTTTTCAGAAGGGGAACACTGGACTTCACTATGCGTGCCAAAGAAAAAGTCAAAGGATCATTCCACTGTTATTGGAGAAAAATGCAGATGTTTCAGTACAGAACAAAGTAAGTTAATTAATTATAGCAAGTATTTGAACATGAACTTCTATATAGGGATCTGTAATCTTACTGTCTTTATTAAAGTAACTTTAAAAATGTTAAACTCTACACGGTAGATAAGGTGAAAATGAACAAAGTAGTGACTGGTGACAGAGGTGTTGCACTGTATTTAGCAGCAAACCATTCTCTTAATGTCAACTAAGAACTTGGTAAGTGAATG